GCGTACAATAAACAAGAGTGGTGTTAAACAGGAGCTACTGTAGAGGCTGCTGCCAGTCACTACGGTCATCAGTCATTGTTCTAAAGAATTGTGATGCCACTTCTGCTGTTACACTGCCTGCTTCTCCAGACGCAGTACTTGCCATCGCTTAGCATAGCCCAGGGGTGTTTACTGACCCATTACAGCAATGAAAATATAATTTCATGAAACTGACTGACAGTGATATGAATGAAAAAACAAGAATGACAACCGCAGTTTCACCACAATACGGTGAAAATACAAGCATTTCTTAAAAAAAACAAAAAATCTTTCTACTTTGAGTGGCAGTGTCACAGCTATAACCTGGATTGGAAAAGAGTCTACAAAATCGGAGCCTTGCTTGAAAAAGTTTGGGAACCACTGCTGTATATGAGGAACTTGCATGCAGCTTTTTTTACTAACCTGCTTGGAAAGAACGTTCCTTTTTTGTTATTTTAAATTCTGCATTTGTTAACACTGTCTAACAACACTTTCACTCTGATTATTAGGGAAAATATGTGCAGAAACAAGACAGATGCGGACCTTAAACTTTTTTTTTCTCCCACATCTTCATCTTGGTCCCTTTTTTCCCGCCTCTTGACAGGGCAACGACATCATCGCAGCAGCAAAGCGAATGGCTCTGTTGATGGCTGAAATGTCCCGACTGGTGCGTGGTGGCAGCGGGAACAAGCGGGCACTGATTCAGTGTGCCAAGGACATAGCCAAGGCCTCAGATGAAGTGACGAGACTGGCCAAGGAAGTGGCCAAGCAGTGCACAGACAGACGTATCAGAACCAATCTGCTGCAGGTGACTACGTAAAGAGATGAATCAACGTCTCATGTAATGGGGATTCACAGCCTGGTTTAAGCCTAAATTACATAACATGACACTTAAAATCACTTTATACTCACTTTATAGCTGAAGTTAGTTTTCTATTTTTCTTTCATTTGGTGATTCTCCGCCACTATAACGCTACTTAAGAGATTTTAAGACTAAGTGGATGAAAAACAAATGAAAACCCGCCCACACTGACAACTGATTGGTCTATGTAGCAAAATCGACCAATAGGAATTCGCTGTCTTGGAGCGCTTCGTGAAGATTCGGTTTATATTCGGGGACGTGAGGTTAATGTTCGTTGTGTTCTGTTTATAGGTATGTGAGCGAATCCCGACCATCAGCACTCAGCTGAAAATCCTTTCCACAGTCAAAGCCACCATGCTGGGACGAACAAACATAAGCGAGGAAGAGTCAGAGCAGGTAAGATTACGAAAAGAACACTCGCTGTATTCTTGAAATACCGTCAGGCGTTGGTGGTATAGTGGTGAGCATAGCTGCCTTCCAAGCAGTTGACCCGGGTTCGATTCCCGGCCAACGCAATATATTTTTTGCACTCATTATTATTATTATTGCTACGTGTTTGGTTGATAATGGATAAATTGTAGCATATCACAAATAAATAAAGTAAAGTATTACATATGAAGTAACTAAGCTAACTGAATTTTAGAGACTAAAATAAATGTTATACATTATTTAACCACATTTTAGGAAACCCTGCTATTTGAAACTTATGACTTGGGTTTCACATCTGAAAACTATTGTTGTCATTCTTAAACTTACCCTCTATTTTTCTAATCAGGCCACAGACATGTTGGTCCACAATGCCCAGAATCTGATGCAGTCGGTGAAGGAGACGGTCAGGGAAGCAGAAGCAGCCTCCATTAAGATCCGCACAGATGCAGGATTCACACTTCGCTGGGTTCGCAAGACCCCCTGGTATCAATAACAAAATTGGTCACTTAAACGGTAACACTCTTCACCTGGTACCAAAAGCACACACTTTAATGTACAAGTAATAAAATAACATGTTAAACAAACTTCTAAAGATGATCAACTGCACTGATGGTGCATTTGTGTGCCAGAACTGTTTGATTTGGTGCTAAGCAGGTTTGATTTATTGGAGTGAGTTTAGCTGTTTGCTCTCCAGTTCCCTTTATCTGTAACTTTTTAATATCTATTTTTGGTATGTTGTGTTACAAGAGTTTATCCAAATCCCAGGTATATATATATTTTTTGCATGACATTTTTTTCTATTTTATAAAATGAAATAAAATGTATTATGATGGTAGGATATTTCTCCTAGATGACATTTTCCATTCAGTTCTTTTTTCAGGGAGAGTTTCTTATTGTCTACTGTACAGTATATACAGTATTTGTCTGTTGTATGGACTCTCACACTCAGCGATGAGCCATATTTACTGAGTATGACACTAAAGTGTGAAGTCCTGTGTGAGCTGATGATGACAGGGCCTCGCTCTGCTCTTCTTGTTTACTTTAAGTAAGAACACTGTTGAGTTCTTAATGTGGATGAGCAAACGTTACCTAAAGTAGTAAAAGTTCAGCCTTTAGGAAAATGTTAGTTTCTTTAACACTTCAAGTAACACTTAATATAAAACCAACATAAAAAATTATTGTAAATGCAAGGAAGTTGATGCTAAACAGACAAAGAGTTCAGTCGACTGTGGCAACGGGAGTGACATTTGAAAAATCAAGACAAGAACAAGTGGGTTTTTTTCAGTTATTTGTTAAGAAATCAAAATAACCAAAGTTTGTGTTTCATTTCTGTATTCTTGGTGAAGTTCTGAAGCATAAAGGTGGTATTAAACCAGGTTGTTTTAAAAAAACAACTAGACAAATAATGAAGAACATGTTTTTCTAGCAAAAAAGAAGGAAAATAAATAATTTCTTCTGTTTTGCATTTTTTCAGTGATCGTGTTAATTTTTTTTTTCTGTACTGTCACTTAGGGTTGAGCCTTAGGAATTTTTCTCCAATCTACTTACAATCATTGATACGACACAACCTCTTAATTCCTGTAGTAACGGATTTATATCTACAGTAGGCCTGTAGAATGAGAAATCCAACGCCTCACTTGTTGTTGTATTAAAGAAATAAAATTACTAAACCATCCTGATTTAGACCATAGTACAATTCAGGACACCCAAAATAATTGTGTTCATGTTTATGTCATTGCAATATTTTTTTTAAATCTGCTTTTGCAGATATATTGTCATTTTGACTGTTTTACTCTTTATTTAGTAAAAATAGAAATGCTACTTTTCATTTGTTGGATATAATTGGAACTCAATCAATTTAACTTAATAATTCTTAAGCAAATACCTGAAAATAAATCAGCCGATTCAGTGCTGAAAAGTATCATAATCTTTGAATTGACTAGTGAAAACAATTTAATTTAATGATCATGTTCATCAATGTTTGTTAGGACACAGCACTGAGAACTTTGATGGTTTTACAGAACAGTGTCCAAGTGGGAGAAAACATATTCACAGTATTTCATGTTGCATCTGCATTTGTAAAATGGAAATGTTACTGTTTGAGAGAGTTTGTATCAAAGATTCTTTACTTGTAGAAATGATCAACTTCCATGAAGATTGCAGACAGGGCTGTGAAAAGTAACGGAAAGTATTGCATTTATTTTTGTTGTTGTTTAAGCCCAATGAGCATGTAGCAGTCACTGACCCCCCGCCTCCCTCACTGAGTGACAGGGTGTAGTTGTATGTGCACCTGATGTGTCTGTTCACACACTGAATGTATTCTGATAGCTTCTAGCCCTGCCAACACATCTGCTGTGCCTTGGAAGAATAAAAAGACAAATAATAAAACTGGAGTCAGCGTCTTTAGTCACCAGTTCTACTGCATTAGCTATCTTCTATTGTTGACTACACTTTATTTTGGTCATCTAATAGATATTTGTGCTCAGGTTTGATGTCATATTTTTAAATACTATTTAAGGTGATTTATATATACATATATATATGTATAATGTGACAAACTAAATACATTCTTAGGTAATTTGTCCACAAAAACAAACATCTTAAATACTAACATTTCAATGATAAAAATACACAACTTTCAGCTTTAATAGCATTTTATACAGTACACCAAAAATATAAATTCAACTTCATACAAGAGCGTTAAGTAGTTTTTTCCACATGGACAACTGATGCGATGCTGTGCTGATTCCTTGAAAATTGTGTGAACCTGGGGGTGCTCAATACAGGTATTGACTCATATTGGGCCATACAGCTACATGTATTTAATCTGAGCATCCCAATGATCCCAACAATTAACAACATTGTATATATTTTTTTTTTATTTGAGTAAATATATATTTAAATATGTATTCAAAGATTTTTTTCTTTTTTACAATTATCTACTTTAAAATTGTATTTTAGGTATATCATGAAGGCATGGGCACCCCTAGTGTGAGCATTTCAGTTCTTCCTCAGCCCTGGAGGTTTTTGTACTTTCAAAGTCAGAGAATGTACCTTAGGTAGAAGATATATATATCTGTCTAGATATATATATCTGAGGGTGTGCGGTGCATCCCTTGGGCCTCAGACGGTACAGTCTGTGCTGCAACACGAGCCTGATAAAGCACTTAAACGGACAACAAGGCCACGCTGAAGAGTGAAAGTGTGCAAAAATACCTGCACTCTACCTGGTGCCTGAAGGCACGCTGCAGCTACTTAGAAGGCAGTTAGCATCTTTGATATTTATAAAATAAAGATTTTGTGATCTAGTATACATTGGCTTGGATCTTCACTGTAAGGCAACATGCGTGAATCTAATGCTAGTTGTGAAATATTCTTTAACAGGCAAGGTTTTAGGCCAAAAATAAGGAGATAAAAAATGTTTTTAAAAAAATGATTGAAATAAAAAAAGAACAATGAAAACAATCCAATAGATTTAGACTAATAATACTTCAATAATGTCTCAGTGATAATTAAGGCATTCCTTAACAGGCCAATAACCCATACACATTTATGTTACAAGCATAAAAACATACATCATTGTTATATGTTAAAATGCAAAATGAGGCATTTGAGCATGAGCAGGAGAATATAGATGACTGATTGGAGGTGATTCAGCAGTGCCTTGACCTTGCTACTATGGCACAGTGTTTTGGTTTTTTTTTTTTTGACCTTTGGTCCCACAGCAGTCCTAACTTTAGGTCCGCACTTGAAATTTTCCTGCTTTGGTCACATATTTGACCCCTTTAAATGGCTTGTACTTTTCTCCGTACATGTCGAGACGATTCACTTTGAGACCTTTGCAGAGAGAGGAGATGAAATGTGAGAGAAGACACAGAGATAGAGGTTAAAAACACTATAGGTATTAATAGACAATTGTTCTTTAATTATCTAATGAACAGCTCTATCCTCCAACATTAGATAAAGTGATGGAGGTTATACGAGACAGCAAGGACGAAAAACGTTTGCTTTAGGACCAAATACTTTTTACGTGGCATTATGACATTAGGTGATTAATAGAAAGCAGGGACATTACCAGAGATGGCCACTTGCTGTATCTTCAGGTTGATATTGAGTGCAGGGTTCTCCTCTGGTTTAGGGGCTCCTGCCTGCACACTTAGACTCCCTTTCAGATTAGGAAGCTTCTGGGGATTCAACTTCCCAATGTCCCAAACCAGCACCTGCAGTCAGGACAATAAAATTAGGTTTCCATTTAATTGAACAATGTAAATATTAGAACAACTCCATCAATGACTTAATATTCCCGTATTCCTGTTACCTTAGTAGCCAAGTCATAGGTGAAGTTTCCCTGTGAGGCTGTGAGGTTGACACTAAGCACAGCTTTAGGCATGGGCACAGTGACCATTAAACCCTCCACAGTCTTCCCCATGGTCTGTTTAGGTCCAATTGTAATGTCCAAACGACCACAAGACCCGGTCTCAAAGAAACTGATGTTCTGCTTAACGTATATTGGAATGGCAACAAGACTGAGAACCACAAAAAAAAAAAATTTGACCACCAGGAAAATAACCATTTAAGTTGTTGTGCATGGCTTTCAATTATAGAGGAATGTTTGGTAAATGTTGGCCATAGTCAGGAGTCAGCATCATGAGACTTCAATACTCAAAAAATATGTTCTAAGTAAATATTGCAAATTCCAAGCCCATGCCCTAAACCTTAAATTTACTTTTCCAAACATTGTATCTAAAGGCCCCAGATTGCAGATTAGAAGTCTTACTTTTGAGAGCTGACATGATAGGTCATTAGAGTAAAGTTTCCATCTGGTGGAATGAAAGAGAGGACACGCTCAGACTCCCAGCGCTTAAACCGCACACATGGGTGGAAACTCACGTCGTCAAGAAGACGGGGATTCTGTCACCAAAACAAAAAGATCACCAATACTTGTCAAGGAGATCTACCTAAACAAAACACAAATAAACAGATATTGAACTCACCATGAAAGACAGAGTCAAGTCAGGCATCCCAGTGAGCTTCACACAGGCTTCTATTACACCTTGAATCTCTGCAAATACTGTTGTACCTGGATGAAAAAGGTTTACAGAAAATCCAATCAATGAAATATTTCTACATTGGTTTTTTTTTTTTTTCATGGTGAAGGGATGATATCTTGTTTGTACCCGATTTGTCCAGGATGGCATCAATTTCTTCAATCACATCAAAATATGCCTCGTTATTTGTGTATTTAACTCCAGCGCGCCTCCACGGAATGTTGGACAGTTGACCTGTTGGCAGCATATCTCCAACATTAGTTCCTCCTGGGAAATAAAGAAGAAAAATAAACATCAATGTTGTTTCTTTTTACATTGCAATATTTATTATTTTCTATAGATGACTTCAGACAATTTTAAACATTGTGATAAAGCTCAGACTGAGGGTGCGTTCTGTTTACCTGTGAGTGTATTGACAACAGATCTCAGGATGGTTGGAGGCCGGATCATCTCTTTGAGGACATTGGACTCTGTGGCTAGAGGAAACCCATTGTCCAGCATCTCCTCCAGCAGCTCGTACACTATCACTAAATTGTCTTTGATAACATTTTCTGAGCATTCTCCAAAGTAGTCCTGACAACAGAAGTAGAGGTTTTGACGTAACTCTTAAGCAATAATAGCAGTGTAGTGTCTCAGCTACATTTACAGAATGATTACACAGCAATGCATTGAAGTAACACGCCATCTGCAATGAACACAACAAACTTTACACATCCAAAACAAGTGTAATAACTTATTTCACAAAACTAGAACATGTCCAGAGAAATTAGCTCTTAGATCTGTCTAGAATACTTTAGTATGTATTTCCCCATTACAGGTTTTGAATTTGAGGTGACACTCTTCAAAAATATGTCCCAATACAGTAGTTAAGTCATCTGAGTTAAGCAATGCCTAGTGGTTGTGTTTAAATTTCCTTTACCAGAACACAAAGCAGCCTTTAGTTTTTGTCTACAGAAGACTTTCTCTTGGTGTAAATAAAAACGGAGATAAGCAGGTAACGACAAAAATCAATGTATTTCAGGCGACTGCGCACTTTTGAAAGATATTGTGTTTCACAAACATTCTAGCCAATGTTAAATGAAATATGCAATTGACAAACCTGAAACGTGTCTGCTACTCTGTGCAGGAACTCAATGACAAAAAGTGGAGGGACCTCTGTCTGAATGACAGCGAGGAAGAAGATTTTGCCTCTGTAGATGCTGATCAAATAATGGTGTGGGGTCTGCAGGACCGGGGCCACGTCCTCCGGGTTCACCGCCTTCTCTTTAGCCTCGAAGAAATAATCCAACACGCTCCGACCCACGACACTCTTCCAGTGTTTCTCCAGGAAGATGTCTCCCGACAGATTAATGAGGAACAGACTGTGGATCATTTCACCTACAAAAAACCCCAACATAATAGTTTTTCAACCTATGTCGTTTACTCAAAACCATCAGTCTGAAAAAGTAAACTTCAGTCTGAGGCGGATAAATAACCCCGTGGTTTTCAACCCAAACGCCAACTTCAAACGCTTAATTAAAACGACAGTATAAAATTATGTTACCACAAAAATAACACACTAGCATAACACCTGTGGGATAATTTATAGAAAGTTTCACTGTTAATTAAAAGTCCCTTACCTGCAGAATCAAGCTGTCAGAATGAAGGTTGTCACTCGGTGCCGATCTGGCAGAATTGTGTGAGCAGCTGTGGAGGCGCCTGAAGATCTCAGAACACGTAGACGCAACGTAATTACAACTACACGAACAAAATTCCCCACACAACTCTAAGACACTGTATGGATAAACACTGAGTGATTTCTGTAAAGAAAACAATGTGTAGGAACTTTACTGCAATACCGATCGATACTTCTTGGGTGAGGTTTTGGGTTTTTATTCAGGCGGTGTAATCGGACAGCTATTTGGGAACTAAAGCCCCCGAGTTTTGCCCGTCAGGAGGCAAAACAACTGTATATCATGTTAGTTGACTTAAGTGTACCCATCAATATTTTTTATTCATAATTTTTAGAAAACTCTTGCTCAGTAACTGTGAACCAAACATTTAGAATACTGCATATTTATTTAAAAAAGGACACAGAAATGAATGTGACAGCGCACATTAACACAATACCAGTCACTGTTTTATATAATTTTCGTTGTCATATGCACTGGTTAATGACAGTTTCTACTTGGTGAGGCCATAAAAAAAGTAACAAAGATGTTAATTAATCAACACGCGTTTGTAACGTTTGAGATATTTATATGAAATACACCGTAGTGAGGGATTTTGCATATATTTAATATTATGTAATATACCTTTTTGTATACAGCAAATGTACAGCTTTTTAAAAAATGGGACCCTCAGGACCTGTGTTGAGTTAATATTTTAGGAATAAAATATTGTGGCTCCCCATGTCTGTCCTAGACATATCTGACCTTCATAGCTGTGTGCCTTGGACTTGTGCCTGACATATTGTTCATTGGCCACATTTCCACAAAGGGAGTGCTTGTTATTTCTCTAGTCTTGTTCCCAGTATTGCTTTTATTACAACACACCACTGGACTTACTTTGCATTATTCTTATTTTGTTTGTTATTTTTGTTTGTTAAGTTTTGACTATTTCCACGCCATATTTACATTACCTTCTGACTTACTTAAACACTTTTCAGCTAATTTTGTTTTCTTTACCATACATAGCGTTTCTATTTGATTTTCATTTTTTCTGGACAACCGTGCATTTATGGGTTGTTTTTTTGTTTTGTTTTTCTGTATACAGACATAACTATCCATTAAAGAAATTTAGCATTATCATTTAGCATCAACATTTTTTTTTATTTAAACCATAGGTGACTTTTTGACATTGCTTTGCATGTCTATTACACAACCATAGCATAGCCTTTGTGCCTTATGTAAATTCATTTTATTACCTGGGGTGTAAACGTAGCTAAGTGCCATTGGCGAAATTTCTGCAGGAGTTGCCTGTGAGTCTAGTTACAGGGCATCAAACTCCCTGCGCTTCGGCCACATTTGTTTCCACTCGCCGGTGAAGCTCATCGATTTTCAGCAGCAACGTGCTCTGCAGCGTAAATAATGGCCTCAGACGAACCTGCAGTAAAGAGAGTCAAACTCTCTGAGGATGAGAAGTCGGAGGAGACTGTCGACGCAACGGTTTCATCTTCTGAGAAACTGAGGTATGCGACAGTTCATTTGAATTTAAAAAAAAACTAGTGTGTCGGGTCCCGCGAGCCTCACTCAGTCTCCCTCTGCAGCTTCAAAGAGGAGAAAGTTTGCATTTTATAAGCCCCAGCATGTCTTTTCTTAACGAACTGGTTGAATATTTCTAATGAATTCTCTTGGAGCAGAGAGTCGCAGTAAAGTGGGTCAGAGGTGTTTGAACGCAGCTGTAGTGCGTTAACTATGATAATGAGCTTTCTGGTTATCTCTCCCTCTACCACTGCCACTGTCTCATCACGACCACCTGCTGCGTGTTCTTTCAAAGCTGCAGAAATGTGCTTCGAGCAGTGTGTCGTCTCCACTCTGTTTATTGCCAATGACTCTTCCTCCAGTTGCCTCAAATAGTAGCGGTCACTCATGCAGCAGCAGTCATGTATTGTGTTTTGGTGCCTCCCCCTCCTTCCTCTGTAGTCAAAATGTTGGCTCCCCACTCCTTACACTCTCACCCACACCAACCCCTTTCTTTCACCTCCACTTGCAAATGCTATAAGATATAATATGATGATAATAATATTAATTCAATTGATAGGTATTCGTCCCACAACGGGGAAATTTACAGTGTTAGTCTTGCAACTGACACAGGCTGCCACAGGAGGCGCCATTAAGTACATGGTTGTAACTCACAGGCTGCCACACGGGAGGCGCCAGTAGTATATATGTATAATCCACGAAAACATTTCCTTCTGCCCTCCCGTCCAAACATATCACGCTTCCTACTCTACTATCCTCATAAGTTCTGTCAATAACATTACCTCTGTTCAATGCAAAAGTTTGAAAAAAAATCTCAATTGTATACTGTGTAATTCAAGTGTAGCTGCAAAAGGCTTCAGCTGATAAAGCTTGATAATAAAGACAACAGCCACCAGTTGGTAAGTGCTGTGTTAAATCTGTAGAAATAGACACAGAGATAAAAAAAAAACATGGCAATAAAACAGTAAAACCTGCAGAAGTAGTTGTTTTCATCTCAGGTCCTCCAAAAGGGTAAAAAATGTGGCTGCAAGGGATGTCTCCAATTTCTGACTTAGAAATTTGTAAGTTTATGTATGGGTATGGAGTTATTTATATTATTTCAGTAAGTTGAAATAAATAATTAATAAAAATATAATCTATACAGGTTTTTTTTTAAAGATGGCACTGTATTCAAAAACAATATTGCATTTTTCAATTAAAAACTTGTGATGGGCAATATTTAGCTCTGTTTGGCTAATATATTGCTAATATATATATACTGTATACTAGTGTAAATTATATTTTTGGTGTGGGCCAAATAGACAGCTTTGTCGGGAAAGGTTTGGTCCCCAGGCCACCAGTTGAATGGGCATGAGTCCTGCTGTGTAGTATCGTCAGGGAATCCCTGTCATCAGCACGCTTGTCACATACAATGCCAGGCTGAGAGGGAGGCAGGCTCTGCTTCTGCGTAACAAGCCTATCGCCAGACAGAGAAGGGCTGTCCTAATCTTTTTTTCTCCAGATACCACCAATCAGTCGGTCCAGAGAGGGTGGAGCAGTGGCTGCAGGGAAAATTGATCAGCCCGCTTCACTGTACTAAAATTGTCAAGTTTGTTGTATGCTTAGCTCCTGGTGAACCGGTTTTCGGTTGCTCAACAGGTTTGTCACTCACTGGTTTCTACACAGAGACACCATGGCTGCTGCAAGGTAAGAGCACGTCCGTGCACAGAGAGCTGATTTCTAACTGAAATATGGATCACATTTTAAATACTTTTCTTCAGAGACCTTTTTTAGTGACCATTTGGTGATCAGGGAGCCAGGCAGTGATATCTTCCACACTGGATAGTTGTATTTTTATGTTTTCTTTCTTGGTGACAAAAAATGTAGGTTCTGTGAGGGGCTTTTAAAACCGCCTTCTCATTTTTTCCCCATGTTATGTCTTGTTGAAGCCTTCAGTCTTGTCCTCAGTGCTGTGGAAAGAGAGGCGACATGTGAGGATATCTCAGCATGTGCGACACGTGGAGCCAACATCTGTCACAGTCTGTGCTCAGAGTCGTACTGCATCTGGAGTTTTCACAGCGTCAGGGAAACAACTGTGTTTGACGTCTGGAACATAAGAAAGAGAAGAACTTGCCTTGCACGTGAACAAGAATGTGATGCAGCTCTATATATAATGTTGGGAAATACAATGGATCTGCCTTCAGGTCACTGCCTCATTCTGTCCAGATCACACCATTAAAAATGGCATCGTCTTGGCATCACAAGGCACAAATGTGCAGCTACATCCAAACGTTGAGCCCCATTATCTCCCTCGGGCTCGAACATACTGCAGACCCATAAATGCACAATGAGCTGCCCCTGCTGCCGCTGTGACTCTGAACCATCGTGTTATAACATAACTAATTTGCATGACTGGCTGATCATTACACAACCACTAATGTCTCTCTGTCCTGTGTAATTCTTTGCTGCTGGTTAGGGGAAAAAATTTCCATTTGACAAAAACTGGCCAAAAATATGTAATACCAATGTGAATATATAGAATTGTAGCTGTATTCAGTGTAGAGGGTAACATGCTTAAGAAAATAAGGCAAACATTTAGCTTACATGTAACCTTTATATATAGTATGCACATTTTGTAAGCACCTAGCCAAGAGTTTGTAATAATGATATTAGATTAGGATTACTCAAATTCTAGCAAAAAGAGCTGATGCTGAAGACTTCCTGAAAGAGGAAGTAACCCTACATACATTTGAATAATAAAAAAAAAAGTTAAATACATTTAAAAAATAGATTAGTGACTAAAGTTGAGCAAATTCAGCTGCAAAACAATGATCGCTGCTCTGGAAATGATCAGCACTGGGTAGTGCACAAGTTAAAAGAGTAAAATTGTTGTGGCTTTAGAACTGCGCTGCTCCAAGGGCTGAATAATACAAGACGCTTTGAAGAACTTCACTTTTTTATTCATCCTATTGTTGTTGTTTTGTTTTTTTTTTCTGTTTCAGACCGAATTCCCTCTTTGGTATGGGAAACCCTCTGCTGGACATCTGTGCTGTAGTGGACAAGGACTTCTTAGACAAGTACGTGAAGAGATCAGTATCTGAGTGTAAAAATACAGAACTATTGACACAGACTTCCTGGAAATATTCTAATGTTAATTCCTCAGTGCTAGACACAATATAGAAGTGATAGGTAATCACAGAACAAGACAGGAGTTCACTGGGAAGGCAGTGAGTTCACCCCTGTGACGGACAAGCCATAGAAGAAAAGAGCATCTGTGATGTAATTTGATCAATAACAGTGGAAGAGATATGATGAGGACAGAGCACAGGAAGTAACAGAGCAGTGTGTTCGGCTCTTATATAGATGCCCTAAAGCCAGACAGTGTCTCATTACATTTAGACTCCCTGCTCTGAGAGTCTGCATTGTTTCTCCTGGCGACAATGCTAACTAGAAACTTCTGCTTCGTCAGAGGCCACAGTTCGATTTTTAAATTAGGACGAAGTATTTTTTTTCTACGTCTACCCTGTAGGATTGACAGTACTTTTACATCCACAGTGAGCTGACATGTAGCGTAATTTAAGATAATTTCTACTATATATACAGGGCGGACCCACTTTAAGGATCTGCAAACACATGAGTGTTTGCAGATCCACTATAGTGCATTACCAGGTACAGCCTACTTCAGTCAGGAGAATAGTACTCTGTCTAAAGTGTTAGTTGACCAGGGGAAAGGTTTCAAGGTCAGAGTCCACATCCAAATCTCAACCACCTGGATTAGAGATAAACCAGCTCCTTTTTAGTCTTTCAGTCATGGACAAATGTTCTTCTAATCTGTCGTCTTTCCACGAAGTCACTCTGTTCAACAGTATTAACTCATAATGTATATTTGGACTAAGTGGTGGCCATTGTAAGGAGTAGTAAAAGCCTTTATTACAGTACTTTACAGTGTTTCCATGTGATCTGATGACTGAAATGTTTCAATAAACATAAATGTTTTCCACAGGCTCAGTAATGCTGTTTTTCAGCCACACTGTTGTGAAAGGGTTAAACTTGTGGACTCACAAGTTCTTGTTTTTGATCAGTTAAGTTGGCTGTAATCACGTGGCTGTTTTGATGCCTTTGTTTTCTGTTTTTTTAATTGTTTGCAGATACTCTTTGAAAGCCAATGACCAGATCCTCGCAGAGGACAAACACAAAGCACTGTGAGTGTTCTTCTGGGAGAACTCCTAACACATCAGTCTCGCCGGTTTGTCGTCTGAAGAGGGAGAGTACAGATGAGTTTGCTCCTCTTTGTTCCAGAGTGGGCTAGTCAAAACAGGCACACACCAGAAATCAACTTCACTGACCTGGGTTGCTTCTCTGGCAGCCAATGACAGAGCAGCAGCTCCTGCAGAGAGAGTAAATCTGGGCCAATCGCAAACTGAGACACTTAACCTCCCAGTCCCTGTGAGACCAGAGCAAGAAAGCAAACATTTAACAGTGAGAGAGGGAAAGACAGTCGAGTTGAGAGAGGTTGTGTTTTCACACTCTATGCAGTTCTGTTTACAGTGGCAGAAGAGTTCGGCCTGTGTTACATCTGCCGACACCTCACTCAAAATATTTGTGACAACTGATATTTTGAATAATGCAGTCAGACTGAATATAAACATTGAAATGGAACATTAGATTAGGTCACCTGTTAAAAATCTAATTTAAAAATCTAGTTATTTGGCAAGAAATATATTTACAGAAAATTTAAATGGGAAAACCTTTAGAAATAAGTTATATATATATACAGATATGAATATAAATATTTTTATTTTAAAAATATCAGTTTACGTGTTCACACTAACCTGTGTATAACTGACCAAATATGTAGTAAGGTAATCAAACATATTGGTCTGAATTTCATCATTTGTCACCACAGTCGACTACCAGAGTCAGTGTGTTACATAATTTATCATGCACTGTGTAAACAAAGGGCACAGGTGGTACTAACTTAAGTGTTCAGTCCAATTTTGTCAGCAAACTAAACTGACAGCCAAAAAGTGCAGTCACCCACACACCTCTGCAGACAAGTAATATAAATCATAACTGTCTGCTCTGTGTCTTGCTGCAGATTTGAAGAGTTGGTAAAGAAGTTTAAAGTGGAGTACCATGCTGGAGGAGCCACACAGAACTCAATAAAAATTGCTCAGGTCAGTATACATACACAAGACGTCCCCTAGGTTTAGCCTCCACAAATAAGTGACCCAGATCAATGCTCTGTCCTCTGCAGTGGATGATCCAAGAACCTCACAATGTGGGCACCTTCTTTGGCTGCATCGGCAAAGACAAGTTTGGGGAGATCCTGAAGCAGAAGGCCGAGGAGGCGCACATCCAGGCACGATACTACGAGCAGGGCGAAGAACCCACTGGAACATGCGCAGCCTGCCTTACCGGCACCAACAGGTAGGTTCACACGTCAGTATTTGTTGGATTTTAAACTGCGTCATGTACTTCACTTCTGTCGACTTTCCCTCTCCCAGGTCACTGGTGGCAAACCTAGCTGCTGCCAACTGTTACAAGAAGGATAAGCATCTAGACCTGGAGGAGAACTGGGAGTTGGTGGAAAAAGCTAATGTTTATTATATAGCTGTAAGTACCGTTCTAAAATGGTGTTTGCCCATTTGTGCTCGTGCCAAGAAATGTCACGTCAGTCCTGATGCCCGTCTTTCATCGCCTGTAGGGTTTCTTCCTCACTGTTTCTGTGGAGTCCATCCTGAAAGTGGCGAAGCACGCCTCTGAAAATAACAAGCTGTTCTGCTTGAACCTCTCTGCGCCCTTTATCTGCCAGTTCTTCAAGGACAACCTGATGAAGGTTTTGCCTTACGTTGATGTCCTGTTTGGAAACGAGACGGTACGCCCGACTTTCACTCTACTCTACAAATGGAGAATATGTAGAGAATTTTTTTTATTTTATGGCTGATATTTGAAGTTTGTAAATGTGTACATCTCCTCTTGTCTCCTCAGGAAGCGTCTGCCTTTGGCAAGGAGCAGGACTGGGATGTAAGTGTGCTGCAGCATTTGTACCTAATCATGACTTTTCTGTTTAGATGATCTCAGTGTTGGTGCTAATGTGTGTTCTGTCCACAGACCAAGGATGTGAAAGAAATAGCAAAGAAAGCTCAGGCTCTAACTAAAGAGAACACAAAGAGACCGAGGATCGTAGTGTTCACCCAGGGGAGTGAAGACACAGTCATGGCCACAGGTGAGGTTTTTAACATCACTGGATTTCTTTTCTTTGTCTCCACATGTTCCAGATTTGTAATATTGTAAACCTGTCTTTTCAGAGGACAAGGTCAAGACTTTCCCTGTCCTAAAAGTAGACCCCAAGGACATTGTTGACACAAATGGTGCCGGTGATGCATTTGTTGGAGGTAAGGCTCATCCTGTCGTCTCAACTGATTCATTAATGTTTTGTGTTTTATCTTCAGGTTGGTGTAAATAAAAAAACATTTTTTTTTGCGTGTCAGGTTTTCTTTCACAGCTTGTCCAGGACAAACCTGTAGAACGGTGTGTGGAGGCTGCACACTACGCCGGCAGTGTCATCATCAAACAAGCAGGCTGCACCTTCCCAGAAAAACCAGACTTCAACTGACTCGCTTCCGGTCCACATCAGCCTCATCCTGAAAACCTCATTCATACTCATTCAAACGCACAACTCTGACACAGAACCTCGTCTTTCCTCTTTACTTCACTTCAGCCAATGATTGTCTATCCCTGTTTTTCCCAGCCATTCACCAGTCTCTGTTACCCTTACTCTCTCTGCTCACTGGCACTTTGTAGCAGGTATCAGTGTTGTCCACTTGGGGTCACTAGAGAATCAGAGGCCAGTACTGAAACGTAGACCACCAGGGTTGAGACAAAGCAACAAAGATTCTAATTCTGTTTTCATAGATGGTTGTTGTGTCACTGTGTGAGACTGAATGACTTTGACTGAAATAGTCCCTTTACTCTTTACAACAAGTTGAGGACTTTTCACAAGTCTTTTTTTATTCTCATAAAATAATCAAGGCAAAGAAAATAATTGAGACAAAACAACAACATAATGGCAAGTCATAGCTTAATTTTGTGATTCTGTTTTATAATTTTTTTTTTTAAAATTCTGAATTGGTTTTAGATTTTTTTAGAAGTTTTATTTTTTAGCCAGGTGCCAAATCTATATTAGTTTTTTCTTTCTTCCACTTCCGTCCTATGATCAGGTGTTAAATGTTCCTTGTGTTTATGTTTAAACAGAAGAGTTAGTCATTCCTTCTCAGACGTTTCTTGTGCATTTGGTAACGAGTGCCTTAATTTCTTCTTCTTTCTTCATGTTACAAAACACTGAGTTTGAAAGATAAAAAACTGACATTAAATGAATCCATTCTAGCTGCTGTTGACACAAAGTCATTACATTTGACTTCTTTCTAGACAGATCTGCCCTGCGCACAACTGACCTGAAGCTCTGTTCACATGAATTCAGTTGTTAATGTATGTACCAAACTTAATATGTTCCAGTTTAGGGGCCAAGTATTTCAACCAATTTTATTGATATGGCTCAATGCTATGTTATGATCTGCACAAGTCCTGAGTAAATGACTGTGGAGTTTTCTAAATGAAATGTGTACATCATGTATGTTGTCTAAATCTGCTGATACTGCAACTGCTCAAATACACCAAAAGACCTCTGTGACCTTGTACTGTTGGTATGGAAAATATGAGGTGATGAAATCATGCAGCGTTCTTTTTCTTTTTTTTTTAAACAGGATTTAATTATATGAATCTTCGCGCGCACAAAAGTAATTACTTAAAACCAAAAGTATTTGGTGAGTACTCTTTGGCAGTACTCGTACACAGCAGAACCAGAGTGCTAAGTATGACAGCACTGAGCATGCTTTGTTCTGTTAAACTGTGCACTTCTGACTATGTGATCTTTCTTAATAACAGCTGGTCTTCTCATAAATAAATAAACAAGAGTTTGAAAACTACTTACTATTGTCATAAATAAACTAAAGATATCTGGCAACACCAGACAAGTATTGAAGCTGTGTTAAGCTAGAATTCTGTTTTAGTCTAATACAGATCTAAAGACAAATTCTGTTAACACTTCCTAAAAAGGAAAATGACAGACAGAGGGCTGCATCCCAGCTAATAAATTATATTATGTACACTAGCTAATCTGACCTGATAAAAGTAAAAAGTTATTCATTATGTGAGATTCCCTGATTTATTTTTGTAAAGAAAATGCTCCTCTGAATTCTTGCGAACCACTAAAAAGTTATGGGAAAAAAACCTAATAACAAAATGGTCCAGAAGTGTTTAAATCCCTGAGTTGGATCACCGTCCATGTCTGCTACTGTTGTTGCAGCGTTCGTTTTTCTTTGAGTCGCTCCTCCTGTAGTGTGATGTCCAGAGCTCTGAGTTGTTTGAGGAAGCCGTGATTAGGCAGGATACAGCGTCGCTGCCGCACATGCTCAATAGCGTCCACTACTGTCAGCCTGTGTTTCATCATCAGGTAAGCCAAGACAAGGGTGGCTGACCTGCTGCGACCCATCACACAATGGACAAGGATCTTGTCTAGAAACAAGTAAAATCAGGTGAAATGATGAAAACAACCAAACGTTTCAGTTGGTGGGTCCAGCACTCACTCTGTGGCTGACCCAGGGCCTGGTGGATGAACTGGGTTGCAGGACAGAAGAACTGGGAAATGTTAAAGCTGGGTTTGTCGTCAGCCTCCACACCAAAGTACTGAATGTTCATGTCACTGTAGTATTCAGCACCAGTCAGAACGTTATTCCACTTCCCCTCTGCAGCATTCAGAACATGTGTGATACCCAGCTCTCTCAGGCCAGGGCGCTCTAGAGCTGTTTTCCTGTGTTCAGTCAACACAGACTCAGACATGAGTTTACACCTTTGTAGGGTTGGATATGGATGTGCATGCAATAAATATAAAAACATTTAAAGCTGCATGAACTCACTCATCTCCGATGTAAATACTAGGCCACACCAGGTTGAAGTGTGAATACTGGGCCACGGTGCCGCTCCAGAACAGCTGCTCCAGGTCTAAAGTCCCTGGTGTGATATAATCACTGTCTGGGTCCACCTGCACCGCTGTGTAGGGGTTTTTACCCCTGGACCTCACCACACATGAGGACATGGTTCACGACTGCTGCACAGAAAACACATATTATTCACCTGGACCTGAATTCATACACTGCTAGCTAAAAGCAAAAAGAAGTAAATAGTTCTAGTTCTTATAAGTGGTGCTACCACACAGTCAGTGCTGAGCTAACACTTACTCCCCAAACACAAGCCCCTAGAGAATATTTGACATTTCCTTTTGTTCTCGGGGACACAGAGCTGCTGGGCTACTGTTGACTGGTTTCTAAGTTTCTCTCTCTGGGGTAAAAGTATTCCACACAGACACACGAACACCCAAAAATAGCACAATAAAAATGATTCTTGGTAACAGAAGTGAGTCAACATCTCTCTTGGTGCCATCCTGCGAATGTATTTATCCATGGCTGTTTTCCACGGTGCATGTATGGTATTAGTCTAGTCCGAGAGGCTAAATAAAGCGTTGAGATGTCACGGACAAAGGATTTCTGTAGACTGTAAAAAAAAAATGAAGTGAATACAATTTGTTTTTCCTCTGTTAATAATTAATTTGGGTAACTTTAGAGCATTCTGTTTTTACAATGTAAATAGTAATAGTAAATAATAGGTAAGTTATAGCAACAATAGGTTGTCAAAGTTTTGCCTGTGTATATGTATTTATTTTAATTTGCACTTTAGACCCGCCTATAATTATAGGTAATTATGTATAATATCTCTAAGTACAGAGATAGGAGACAATTATCGTCTGATGATCAGAAATAAATGTCACTGGCAGAAAAAGTGCAGATACTAGAGAGTATAAAGAAACACTCACTGTCTCTCAGATGTTTTCTTCTCCCTCTTGAACAGGATGACACCACAGCACCCTCACTTTTCCTCACTGGACATGTGTGTGTGTGTGTGTAGTTGTAAGTAAATGTGGGAAATCTCTCCGCCTTCTGTGAGCGTAAAGCCTGAAATACACGCGATGAATCCCAACTGCTGTCCGTGTCCGTGGCCTCTGTGTTTATGGAGGTATTTTTAGGCAGCTGCTAGTTCGTAACACCTGACAACGTGACGTAGACACACAAACGCACACATCCAAACACTTACACACACACACACTTTCTTACAGGATTTTACATTTAAATTGAATCTGCATGCCAAACAGAACTTTGTAAACAACAACGTGCTTTATTGTTGTCAGTGTAATGACAGAAATGAATGGACAGTCGTGTGAACGCCCCCTAGGTATTTGTCATGATTATTTTCAGCAAAGTATTTCTTGGTGTTGTGTTGTCAGATTGTTTTCTGCTGACCTACACTCTGAGACAAACGACTAACAAATGTCATTTCTATTTGTGATATAAGTGGTAAAGAAATAGTATGTCAAGAAAACAGTTAAAATGAAAACAGAAGAGGAATTACATTATTTTTCCATGTTCATTTTACTAAAATCTTAGTGTTGTTTTTGTTGTTTTTGAAACTTTTTTTTTTTGGTTCATGTCATCATCATCAGATCACTCTTATTTTTCTTCTCTGTTGATGGAGGATCAGGTCCAGTTCCCTCAGCTGCTCCAGAAAACCAGAGTTAGGTCCGATGTCTCTGTTGAGCCGAACAGCAATAATGGCTTCCACCAACGACAGTCTCTGTTCGATCATCAGATAAGCCAAAACCAGAGCTGCAGAGCGACTCACGCCCATGGCACAGTGGACAAACACCGTCCCTGCAGAATGTGTCAGTGTTTTATTAAAAACTCCTGACGTTAACATTTAGCTTCTACAGTCAACTCACTCTGACCATTTTTCCTCAGTGCTCCATCTATGAACTGTGCAGCTGTGCTGAAGAAGGGTCGGAGGTTAAACTCCGGATGGTCTGCAGCCTCAACACCATGGTATTCCACTCCGAGGTCAGTGTAGAACTGCTGACCCGTGTTGATCCTGTGTCGACCTGCTGCGGCATTAAGAATGTGAGTGACGCCCAGAGATGAGAGTGTGGTTTTATCTCGTGCCACAGACCTGCAGACACAGGACATGTTGAGAATTTCATTCAGATCAATTCAAGATCGTTCAAGTTCGGTCTTGTTTTTTTTTTCTTACTCATCTCCAATGTAGAGCTGTGGCCAGACTTGATTGACAGCTGTCACTGGTTTTCTGTTCACCCAGACAATTTGTCTCAGCTCTGGGAGAGATAGCGTTTCTTCCTCGTCCTCCTGGGTTGACTGCCCTCTGTAGCGATACATACTGTATGTGTGTACTATTGTGTGTTTGTGTGATGTTTTTTGTACTTGTGGGTGTTTACAGTGTCTTCGGCTGTCGTTGTCTTCTCCTCTCCCTCTCCAGACTCATATCTAGACTGCGGAGTTGTTGTAGGAAACCAGGATTAGGATAGATGTCTCTGTGCGGCTTAACGGCAGCCACGGCCTCCACCAGACTCAAACCCTCGACGATCATGAGGAAGGCCAGCACCAATGTCGCAGAGCGACTGACACCCATTAAGCAGTGGACAAATACACACCCTGGAACAGTGAGATTGCTATTAGGAGTGGAGTTGCTCACTGCTGAGGTTACGATAAGATTGTTCCTTATCAGGTTGTTCTAAGGTGAAGGTTTTTACATTCTGTTTTTCTCTTTTAAGTGTTACTTAATGTGTGAGGAATGTCTCCATGCATTATATAAACAGCCCCGCCAAAACAAAGTTCCATTGAAAACTGCACATACATATTAGTGACATGTTGTAAATGTTTCAAAAATGTACTTCAAGGGTGATGTTTGTCAAACATAAATAATAGGAAACTATTATTATATTTTAAACTACACATATTCAACATATTCAATACAACCAGCCTAAATTCATATATTTAAAATGGTCAGACCTTGTTTCAGGGAGCGGTCCACACACACACACACACAGTGTACGTTACGTTAGGTCTGAGTGGGACTGACTTGCCTCCCATTGCCAGGGCAGCTCTGATGTAACGTGCCGTTGGGTAGAAGAAAGGACTGAGGATGAAGTCTATGGCATCATCAGCCCCCACTCCATAATAATCCACTGCCATGTCCCTGTAGAAGCGGGGGCCGGTGTTGACGTATAAACTGTACAGGCTGTGGGGCCCGTGGGCTGCGTTGACGATGTGAGTAATGCCCAGGCTGTGGAGAATACCCTTGTCTCGCGCTGCCACCCTGAAGAACAGTCACATGTTCACTTCTGTGTGACAGGGGTCATAGATGTTACTTTGTGTATGTGTGTGTGTGTGCGTGAGAGAGAGTCCGTGAACATACTCGTTGCCAATGTAAATGTTCGGCCAGACTTGATTGACATGTCCAGTAGGTTTTCTGTCTTTTAGCAGGAGCTCCTGCAGCTCTGAGATGGAAGGAGGCTCAAACGGTGGATCCCTAAGAGACATTCTGTACTGTCACTCACACACACTTACACGCACAAAACACACACATGTGAAAACTTCAACCTTTGATTCTTAAAAACATTGTACAATCTAAACCTACACACGTCATTAAATGACAGTAAATGTAACATTAACCAGGAAATGAACAAAGGTTCCATTTGGAATAATGTGAACTCACCTTGTTTGAAGGGAGTTAAAACTCTTCTGCTTCATCTTCCTGTCTACTCTTCACACTCACACACACACACACACAGCCGAACTCATCTGAAGCCCGTTTCCTTTTATAACTCTGTAATTATACACTGGTTAATGACAGACGTGTTCTGCAGATCTGTTCAGAGAACAGATCCAGTTCTTACTGACCAGCATCAACAACACAAATAAGTTCTATGGACATCAATCAAAGCAGCTGTGTTTCCATGATGAGCAACTTTGATCATGTGTTACTGTACATTACTCTGTAATACGTGCATCTGTGTTGTCATATGACATAGCCAGACTTCCAAGTTTCTTTATTTACAGGTAACATAATACTAGCAAACTGTTAGTCTAGTGGTTAAACATTCCACGTAATTGAAGAGTTGCTGGTTTAAATCCTGCACTGGTGCATGTTGGGTATGCACCAACAAATCTCCTGCTTCCTGGTTGATTCTTCGGTTCTTCTTCTTCTACATCTTCCATCTGTGTTCATCTTCAAGAGCTGGGTGCAGTTCCAGATTGAGAATCAACAGGAAAGTATCTCTTAACAATATGGTGTAAACAAACTCATCAACACCACTTGTTGTAAGAGCCTTTATTAAATCCATGGCAAAAAAAAGTTCAATCATTTGCATTTTCTTTTAAATATTATCAAACTATACACGTATAATTTTATATATATTTTATATATAATGTACTTTTAACATGTTATAAAATTAAATATAAACATCACTTTTAATATTTACAACTACTTAAGAGCCATGCTCTTCGTAGATGAATCCAAAAGCTGAAGTTGTGCAACAGAAGAAGACATTTGTCCACATTTGTTGTCCTAAGCTCTTGGTTCACATAATGGCTTCACTTAGTGACCATGCCCAGAGTTAATCTGTGTACACCAAAGCATGACCTGCCTTTGTTGACATCTGTTTGGGTAGTAAGTGGCCACAGGTAAAGCAAGCCAGTGATATCGTCACTGTCTTAGGAAAAAAAGCAGTTGGTTGAAGCTGTGAGCCACTACATTCAGGTGTTGCGTTCTTTATCCTAAACCTTGGTGGAACATTTAAAGCTAACTATCAACAATAAATAGAGGTCCCAATGTAGACAATGCAACAGAGAGAAATAAAACAAAAACACAGATGTCATAGAAGAGGACAGAACCTTCGTCTTAGTGCTAGTTCATCATCCAGCTTAAGGAGCTGGGACAGGAAGTTCCTGTTTGGGTAAATCGCACGTTTTTGGATGAGCTGCCTCAGAGCATCCCTAAGAGAAAGATGCTGCCGCATCATCAGATACACCACAACCAGGGTGGCTGACCGGCTTACTCCCATGATGCAATGCACCAGCACTTTCCCTGTTGAACAGAGAGAGAGAGAAGATGGTGAGACACCACAAAGTAAAATGTGTTGAAATGCACTGCAGGTGTCACATTTATATACTTCACCATCTTTGCTCTTCAAGGCCTTGTTAATGAAGTCTGTTGCAGCACTGAAGTATTGACTGAGGTCAAAACTCTCCGAATCCTCGGCTGGGATGCCAAAGTAAACACAGGTGTCCCCATAAAAACTCTGGTCACCGATGCTGCCCTGCTTGGAGTGGGCTGCGTTCAGGACATGGGTGATGCCAAGCTTCTGTAACTTCTTTCTGTTCTGAGCCACAGCCCTGAGAAATAAATATTTATGAAAACATGGTTTAGAAAGAAAACATTTTTTTTTTTACAATAAACTTTGTTTCTTATGTTACAGCCATTTCCAACTTGTGACACTTACACATTTCCCAAGTACAGGTTTGGCCAGACTTCATCCACTGGTGTGAGTTCCAGTGTGCAGGAGTCTAAGAGGAGCTCCAGTTCTTTAATGAGCGCCAGGTTCTGTAGCTGCTGCTCGCTCCCTGACATTCTCACTGGACTCTCAGCACTGCTGCTGTTATTGCTGCTGCGTCTGCCGTTCACTCTCCTGTCTCTGCTACCAGACCCCGAGTGAGAGACAAGAACAGGTGGTTGTTTGAATGCTGCCCAGCTCCAAAATTAGCTCTCTGTATCCTCAGTCTGTTCCCTCTGTCTGCATGAAGAGTTATTTAATGTTGCTGGTGCATTGGCATCAGGGAAGAAATGACAGGAATTTTCGAGTTCACAGTCAAAGTGAGTGATTGTGTAGTGTTAGAAGTGGAATAGTTTTGCACAGACAGCCAAGCAACTGCAATGGAGGTTTTTTTATTTTGGTTTATTCAACTCTTTGTTGTTGCACCTTTTGGTCCAAGGCTAAGAGTTGTTTTAAAAAGCCTCTGTTTGGGAAGATCCAGCGTTTTTGTTGCACGCAGCGTACAGAGGACAGAAGGGTGAGGTGCTGATGAATCATCAGGTAGGCAAGGACCAGTGCGGCTGAGCGACTCACTCCCACAGCACAGTGCACAAACACATTACCTAGAAAAACACAGAGAAAAAAAAACAGATATGTGACAGTGTAAAAGTCTGCTGCTGCATTAGAGACCTGAACTGAAGTGACAGAAGACGAAAATTTCTGAACGACAATGAAATTCTTTTTAAGTAAACCTTTTACACTATGTGTTTCATGTATAGTCATGCTC